AATTTATGAAACAGCTTTAACGTTTTTATTAGGCACTGTCTCTCCAGCTATTTGAATGAAGCAATAACTGAAGTTTCGAAGTATAAATGCCTCTAATCATGCTGAAAGAAGGTAAAAAAAATAATCTCCTTAGCAATCCAAGTGAGTGCATGAATATTATTTGTTGGGGTTTTTTTGTTTGTTTTATTCTTATACATGAGTGATTTTCCCCTAGCATGAAAAAAGTAATACCTCTCTAATTACAGCAGTGGAACTATCAGGAACAATCAACCTTGCTTGTTTTGTCTATTTTTAGTTACTTAAATTTTACCTATTATTTAGAACACATTGAAATCTCATCCTCCAAAGTGATTGCATGTGATTGGAGAGGGGATGGGAGGGACAGGTATGTTGACCATGGCCCTACAGTCCACAGTGAGGTTCCCTCTAGGAGAAGAATTGTGCAATACCAGTTCATCTTCAGAAACGAGAGAATATTACCCCTTCTGTTCATTAGCTCCTCATTTTTTAAAATGCTTGACAAATTTTCTGTGTTGTTTACAAACTCTGAACCAAATTCTCCCGTTATAAACAGGTAAAACTCAGACATCTTAATTTTCTTTAAAACAACTTGCAAATTCTTCAACTCTATCTCATGTTCTCCATTAAGCTCTAGTATTTAAAAAAACGTCAGTTTTAAACTATCATTGGTCAACTTAAATAAGAATGTAAAACCAGATGGTAATTTTTCTTCTAAATCCTTATGCAGTATCCATTTTCTGTAATTGAAAATGTTTTTATCCATGTACTTAGGTAACAAAATATTTTATTAACATGTTAACTTTTCCTTACAATTAAATCCCAGCATCTTAATGCCATAGTGTCCCTGCAAGTCCAAGTTTGTTGCCATTTACCTCAATCTTTTATCATTAATATATTGTCATTCCTTATCAAGTTTGGGTACTAGCATATCTAGTCTTAATATAAGATCTACTAATGAAGCACATGCATTAGTGTGCTAAATGCTTGCATACTAAGTATGCTTGTATATTATGCAGAAAACAGTGAAGTGACATCTATGTCATATGACAGCAGCAGCTCCATCAGTTGCTATGGAATGTAGTTTACAGTTTGTAAAAATAAATGCACTAAATATCAAACCCAAACTCCCATGTTTATTCCACAAGCAGGTAACAGTTTCTTTACAATTCTGTTAAGTATCTGGACATCCCTGAATAAATTCTCTTCACCAAGTGGACAGAATTTGACTTCTTATTGCCATAACCAAGTATGAAAATCTTAAATGAGGTGGTAAGATTTTTACCTTTTTTACTGTTTACTTTTTGAAAATGGTAAAACTAATCTCCTGTTAAAGGTGCAGATATAAAAAATGTTCTAGAAAAGATCTGAATCTGACTTGAATCAAGACAGTTTGAATATATCTGAGGATATATTTTCAGGAAAAATTACATTTATCTTCCTTAATCACTTAATGTATGATTTAAAAATTTTACTATAAGGCAGTGAAGGTGTCCTAATGGCTTGAGTACTGTTTTGGAACTGATATAAAGTACAGTAAAATACAAGTGTGCTTGCTTTTATTTATTACCACATCATCGTTTCATTATTATTTATGTCTCTATTCACTGCATTATTACTATTTGGATTGTAGTAAATTAATTGTTTGTTTTCTCTCTGTTAATACTTATCAGTGTCCTGGTTTCAACTAAGAGTTAATTTTCTTACTAGCGGTTGCTGTCTTTTCAGATCTGGTATGAAAGGAACGTCAATAATGCATATTGTTTTAGTTGTTGTGAAGTGATGTTTATAGTAGTCAAGGACTTTTTTTTCAGCTTTCCATAGAAGCTGAGAGGGAGCACAGACAGAACAATGGGATGGCCAGTGGAATATTCTGTACCATAGATGTCATGCTTGCTATATATGTGGTGGTTTACCTGGGGGTATATTCCATTATTTTTATTATTATCATTATCATCATCTTAATAATTTTCATTTTCCATTATTGCTCTATTAAACTTCTATATCCCAACCCACAAGGTTTTACTTTCCCTTTCCCCTCCTTTTCTCCCTGCCTTTCTGAGTGGGGAAGAGAGGTTAAGTGAGAGGCTGCGTGGTTCTAGTTGCTGGCTGGTGTTAAACCACGACAACCAGCTGTTGTCAGCAGGTCAGCGCTGAGAGTATTCAGCCCTCAAGAGTCTTCAGCTGCTTTGGTTAATTTATTTTGTACTAGTCACTACTGTTCTATAGCTCCCGCCCAGACCTCAGTCACTCCTGATGTATTTTCAACCATGTGCAAGTAAGTCTCTGTTCTGCTTCCTCTACTTCATGGTCTGTGATGCTACCCAACACCCACCTCCTCTCACCCAGTGCCTCCAACCTGTCTTCAGATGCCTTCACTGTCTGCATCGTGTAGTACACAGTTCATCCTCCCTGTAACACCTCCCAAACTTAGCCCCTGCACACCTGTCTGCCACAAGCAGGTCTCATGTTATTTTGCAGTATAAACAATTAATTTACTACATTCATTCTCCGGTGAGAGATGGGTCACTTGAAAACCCTTTATTACATTTCAGTTTTTACAACTGGTATTTCCGTAGACCTGAAAGAAAAAAAACAACCCTCTTTAGGTCATGCTACATGATTCATTACATGACAATTCACAAGTGTCCCTGTTACAGTATTCTCAGGGCTGATCTAACAGTACTCATTAGTACAGTAAAGCATAAATAAATGAAGTAAATCATACACTGCCGTGCTGAATTTTACCTCTGCCTGCTTATTGATTTGCAATCGTAGGCAGGTAATACTAAAGACTTCGCAGTACCTGCCGAGGGGGTGAAGAGCCAAGCCCTACGCTGACCCATGGCAGCTGGCCACATCACATACACCTTCACCAGACCCTGGAGCAGGAGATTCTCCACAGCCCACCTCGGGGCAGAAAAGGCCTTGGAGGTGACACAGCCCGAGGGAGGCAGCCATGGCCCCTGCGCCCCTGAGGGCAGCCCAGCCCCTCCCGCCTCAGCCCCTCAGCGGGAAGCGCCGCGCATGCGCACAGCGGCCAGCGCGCGCGGCGGGCTCCGGCGGCCGTTGCCCCGCCCACGCCGCGTGAGGAGGGCGCGCGCCCGGGCCGGGCCAGCGAGTGAGGGAGTCGTGGCGACCGCGCCGCCGCGGGGGCGATGTTCGTGGCGCGCAGCATCGCGG